TTAAAATATTTTTGTTATAATTTACGCTATTAAATATCTAATTTTCTCATTTTAAGAATATTTTTTGTTAATTTTATTTTATAAAATGAATAATAAGTTGTAAATATTCTATAAAGGGGATAAATAAAAAATAAATAAAAACTTAAGGTCCAAATATATATATATGTGTGTGTCTGTGCGTGCGTGTCTCCATATATATATATATATATATATATGTATTAGGCATGCAAATACTCTCTACAAAGTTCCAAACCCTCTGTAAAATCCTCTCTCCATTTTCAAATTCAAACAGTTTGGTCCTCTGAAAAAACACATATATAAACACGTCCCGCGCGTATTACCGCGCGAAGGAAGCTTTCTAAAAAATGGCAGCTAAGCTATTGGCATTGGCCTGCACACGGAACGACGCCCATGGCGGGCTGTCTCCCAGACCTCACTACCCCTCCATGCCCAAGTATCCCAAGGGCGTTTCGTCTGAGCAAGACGATAACGATGTGTCCAATGCCGTATTTCAGGTAACCGGAATGACATGTTCAGCCTGCGCCGGCTCCGTCGAGAAGGCTATAAAGCGCCTTCCAGGGATACGCGAGGCCGCCGTCGATGTTCTCAACAACCGCGCTCAAGTTTTCTTCCACCGGAGTATCGTTAACGTACGTTGTCATAAATTGATTATAACCTTTTTGTGAGTGCCGAAATCTCTGATCGATCTAGTTTTCTTTTGGTTTCTGTAGAAAACGATTTTTGAAAGGTATTTTCTAATCGATCTAGCAGTTCTTCTTTTGGTTTTTGTAGAAAACGATTTGTTTATTAGGTCTTAAATTAGATTATCTAGCTGATTTTGATTGGGGTGATTAATTTGAATTTGCGATTGAAATGCTTGCTTTGATTTAGTGGGTTTCACTTTAAAGTTTAAGTGGGTGTTTCTGTTTACTCTCTTTTTCTTTTTACATGTTTTGTGTATGAGATAATTGACGGCAATGATCCATTTTCGTCACCACCAAACAAAAAATTTGATACGATGGCTATCTCAATTCCTTTTTGACATTCTTTTTGGCTTGGTGCCGACAGAGAAACGTCATATTCTTTACTTTTTCAGGATGAGTATGTTCATGACACATTTCATTTACTGCCATACATTTTCAAACTTCTGTTCTCACAAAATGATTGATATTTTTAATTGGGTAGCTATGTTTTCCCTCTTGGGCCAGGCCTAAGTTTCCCATCCAGGAGTGACTCCCTATTAATTTCTCTGTTTTAGCTTAAACACCGAATTGAGTCCATCAACCCAATAGGGTTCGTCTTCATGGTACTTGCAAATTAAAGTTTCAAAAGCACCATCTCCAATTTGGGAAGATGGGTTTCAATATAGGTTGGTAGAGAATTAATTTGGGTGTGTAAAAGCCGACAAATGTTTACTGCTAAAAAAAATCAGTCCTGAGTGACAGACACTTTCTCTATATCCAGTTCTGGTTACTAGATGGACCTACTCTCTTTGTGGAGCTTAATTTCTATTTGTGGTGAACAATTTGTCGTTGATTATTAGGTTTTAAGCTTACTCTGCCTTTTTCAAACTGATAAAGCCAATCTAATTTTTTTGACCAACCAGCTCTACATAAATAATAAGTATGTGGTATAATAATGTTTATGAGTTGAAATTATAACGAAAGTACTAAGAATGACACATGAATAGAAAGTAATTTTTCATAGGGAAAATTCGGTGAAAAGCATAAAAGACGAATAATATTATTGCATGACTTATAAGAAAAAAGCTTTAGTTTTTATTTTAAGAGTGTGCAAATGGGTCCGAACTGATTTAATCGATGAAGCCAAAATATTTTAGGCAAATTGCTTTAGTTTTGGTTAAACTGGATTAATTTGGTTTTTAACCGAAAGCCATAATATTTTTGGTTCAACCATCGGCTCCAAAAAATTCTGGAACTGAATCAACCTGTTTAACATATATATCATGCAATACAATATTTATAATTATATAATATAATATTTTTTATAATATATCACAAGGGTACTTTTTTACGAAATAATACCTTGCTTTTTAAGGCATGGTGCATCCTAGTGTGAGGATGAAAATATAAAATATATTTTTTAGTTTCAAGAGTTATGATTGTTCTTTATTTCTCTTTTAAATTTGATGAGGGAAATTAATGGAAGTACAGTGCCTCCAAGGTATGATAACACCAGCCCCATGTTGTAAGTTATACCTTTTATTCTGCGTAGGGTGTTTTTGCCACTTAAATGTTTTGAACAAAGTAGGAAGGCAAAGAAGGACTAGGTTGTATTAGATTCTTCTCTAGGATAGGTTCAGAAATAATTAATAAGCTAGCTGATATTACACATACATGTACACACGGATCATGGTCCTGGCTTCTTTCTTATTTTTTCATGTCTTCATATTGACATGAAGTAGGATATTTTATATCACTCTCTGGGACAGACTCAAGAAAAATTTAGTTGGCTTGGCTCAAGCAAAAACATTGATCATGATCCTAGCTTCTTTCTTATCTTTTGATTCACTAATTTGAACTAAACATTATGTAGGAGGAGAGTATTCGTGAGAGAATCGAGGATGCTGGATTTGAAGCAAGATTGATTAAAGATAGTGCAAATGAAAAATCCACGCACGTATATAGAATACACATAAATGGAATGACTTGCACTTCTTGCTCCTCAACTGTTGAAAGAGCTTTGCTAGCAGTTAATGGTGTACAAAAGGCCCAAGTGGCTTTAGCAACAGAAGAAGCAGAAGTTCATTTTGATCCCAAAATTCTAAGACACAACCAACTGCTAGAAGTTATTGAAGATACTGGATTTGAAGCGATACTTATTAGTACAGGTGAAGATGTGAACAAGATCGATCTTCGGGTGGATGGTGTGCTTACTACTCATTCTATGATAATGATTGAACAATCTCTCGAAACACTGCCAGGGATTCAAGGCATTGATATGGACCCTCAAGTCAATAAAATTTCTGTGTATTATAGACCTGATGTGACAGGACCGAGAAATTTCATTAGGGTGATAGAGTCAATTAGTTCTGGGCATTTCAAGACAACTATCTTTCCTGAAGGAGGGGGAGGACGAGAAAATCACAGACAAGAGGAGATTAAGCAATACAAAAGCTCTTTTCTTTGGAGTTTAGTTTTTACAATTCCGGTTTTCCTGACCTCCATGATCTTTATGTATATTCCTGGAATCAAGGAGGGATTGGATACTAAGGTAGTCAATATGCTCTCCGTAGGAGAGATCATAAGGTGGATACTATCAACTCCAGTTCAGTTCATAATTGGCTGGCGATTCTATACTGGCTCTTACAAAGCACTACGACATGGTTCTGCCAATATGGATGTTTTGATTGCATTGGGAACAAATGCAGCCTACTTCTATTCAGCATACTCAGTACTGAGGGCTGCTATCTCTCCAGATTTTAAAGGCACTGATTTCTTCGAGACTAGTGCAATGCTTATATCATTTATTCTACTGGGGAAATATCTAGAAGTTTTGGCTAAAGGAAAGACTTCTGAGGCCATTGCCAAGCTTATGAACTTGACACCGGACACAGCAATACTTCTAACTCTGGACGATGAAGGGAATGTGCTAAGTGAAGAAGAGATTGATAGTCGCTTGATACAAAAGAATGATATAATTAAAATTATTCCTGGTGCAAAAGTTGCTTCAGATGGTTATGTTCTGTGGGGGCAGAGTAATGTGAATGAGAGTATGATAACAGGAGAGGCGCAACTAGTGCCAAAAAGGAAAGGTGACCCAGTAATTGGTGGTACTGTGAATGAGAATGGGGCATTACATATTAAAGCAACAAAGGTTGGTTCAGAGAGTGCTCTTGCACGGATTGTTCGTCTCGTTGAGTCAGCACAACTGGCCAAAGCTCCAGTACAAAAATTTGCTGATCGCATCTCTAAATATTTTGTGCCAATGGTATATGGTTTAAAACTTAACTCTGTTCCCTAGTCACAATTTTTAGCTTAACTAAGAGTATTTGGTGTTGTAATGGCACCAATTTTTTTAATTATGTCTTCCTTGTGCAGGTAATTATTTTGTCATTTTCAACTTGGCTTGCATGGTTTTTAGTTGGAAAATTCCATGGCTACCCAGAATCTTGGGTACCATCTTCAATGGACAGCTTTGAGCTAGCCCTCCAGTTTGGGATCTCTGTCATGGTTATAGCCTGCCCATGTGCTCTTGGCCTAGCAACACCAACTGCTGTTATGGTTGGTACAGGAGTTGGTGCATCTCAAGGCGTGCTCATTAAAGGAGGTCAAGCATTGGAAATTGCACATAAGGTAAGCATTTAACACCATCTTGCTTTTTCCTATGTCCCTTTTAATAATAATTCAGAATATTCTCTCTTTTTCAAATTGAATTCCTGTTTCAATATCCTTTATGTTTAATCATAATTAGAACGATATCTAAATCTCTAAATTAATCGTAAAGATACTGATCTTGATGCTTCAAGCACTCTTCTTCTGTCATTTGTTAATTTTTGCTGATTTGCTAACAGTGTCACTGCAAGTACTAATTGAATGTTTTTCTTCTTTATCCTACTTTATGTGGCATAATTCAAGAACCATATATGGGTTGCAAATTTTTATAGTCAAATTCTTAGACTTGTTTCCTAAATCCTTATTGTTGCTTTAACGCTTGATAGCTGCAGAGCCATAAATCATTAAGTTCAACTTTGTGGAAATAATTGCAATCTTTAATAAAAGTTTATTATGATTTTAGGTCAGTTGCATTGTATTTGACAAGACAGGGACTCTCACAGTTGGGAAGCCAGTGGTTGTTAACACTAGACTTCTGAAAAATATGGTACTCAGAGAATTCTATGAACTTGTTGCTGCAACTGAGGTATGCTTTAGTTTCACTCATGTAATGGTAGCCGTTTGAGAGAACCTGTATTAGAAAACTTTAATTTTGTCTGCAAATAAGGATTTTATAGCTTTTTAAATAGTTCAGAGTGAATTAAATATTTTCTTTGTACAATGACTTATGTTGGTGTTGTAAATCCATTATAGATGAATAGTGAGCACCCATTAGCCAAGGCTATTGTTGAGTATGCCAAAAAATTTAGAGGAGATGAAGAGAAGATAGTGTGGCCAGAAGCACGGGATTTTATCTCTTTCACCGGCCATGGAGTGAAAGCTACTGTTAGGAACAGGGAGATAATAGTTGGAAATAAGAGCTTGATGCTAGAAAATGGCATTGCCGTTCCAGCTGATGCTGAAGATATGCTAACAGAAACTGAAGAGATGGCACAAACTGGGATTCTGGTATCTATAGATGGTGAAATTACTGGAGTTCTGGCCATATCTGATCCATTGAAACCTGGTGCTCGTGAAGTCATTCCGATCCTCAAGTCTATGAGAGTTAGGAGCATCATGGTAACAGGTGACAACTGGGGAACTGCTAATTCCATTGCTCAGGAAGTTGGAATTGAAACTGTTGTGGCAGAAGCCAAACCTGAGCAAAAAGCAGATAAAGTTAAAGATTTACAGGTATATGACCGAAAGAAACTGATTTTTTTCCATTTATTTTGCTTTCGGTATGGAATTCTTGGTCCTTATTTTTTGTGCACTAAAATTCCACATTATTGCATACTAAAATATTTCCCTTTATAATTATATTTTTCTGATATTCATAGGCATCTGGCCATGTTGTGGCAATGGTGGGAGATGGAATCAATGACTCCCTGGCACTTGTAGCAGCAGATGTTGGCATTGCAATTGGTGCTGGCACAGACATTGCCATAGAGGCAGCTGATATTGTTCTTATGAAAAGCAACTTGGAGGATGTTATTACAGCCATAGACCTTTCGAGACACACCTTTTCCCACATTCGTTTGAACTATGTTTGGGCTCTGGGTTATAATCTTCTTGGCATACCAATAGCTGCTGGAACCCTTTTCCCATCTACAAGATTCCGTTTACCACCATGGATTGCAGGTGCTGCAATGGCAGCATCTTCAGTGACTGTAGTATGCTGTTCCCTATTTTTGAAGTATTATAAGAGGCCCAAAAAGCTAAGGAATCTTGTGATGCAGGGAATTCAGATTGAATGATTGATGGTTGTTGTTCTTCATTTTTGTGTATATGTATAGGAGTGACTTTTGGTTTGGATTGAACTAGTTAAGCTAGGGTGTGATGGGATCAAGGAATCCAATTTAGTAATAAAGGGAAGATTTTCATTCTGGTCTTCCATGTATGTAAAGGTGCTGCTGTAAGGAGGGTATTATGCTTCGTGTCTGTGAATGAACTGAAGCTACTGAATTGCTCAAGGACAGCTGTTAGGCTGCATTTTGGTCGTGGGAAATTAAGCTCCTTATTGTGCATGGTGCTGCAGATTGGGTTGTAGTTTCCTTCTGAATTGCTCAAGGAAAGCTGTTAGGCTGCATTTTGGTCGTGTAGAAATTAAGCTCCTTATTGTGCATGGTGCTGCATATTGGGTTGTAGTTTCCTTCTTGAGTGGATGTTTTGGTTTTTGTTCTTTCTAGTGGAAGAGCTATTAGCAACTGCAATTGCTTTAGATGCTTTCTTACAGGAAGAGGTACTATTATGTTTTATCTTTTTAATGGTAGCTTCTCTACTATAATATTGACAGTAAGGGACGGTAATTTGGTCACTGAAAATTCCCAGGGGTTGTCAAACATCACAATACATACAGATGGGTAAGGTTTGTGGATGAGGTTCCAAAAAAGGGGAAACTTGAGTTGATCGAATGTGACAACAGTGCCATCGTTAAGCATGTTGCACTTACCACTAGGGATTTGAGGATTCTTGACCCCTTATTCTCAAACTCCAATTTTCTTGGAAGTTGATTAAGAAAGTTCATATCTTTTTAATATGTTTCCTTTTTCTCTTCCCATTCATCATGTTAAGTTTTAAATTCATTGCCATTCATAGCTGGAGTAAGTGCAAACACATTGATATTATTTACTAGGACAAGTGGAAATGCTTTTTCTTCTTTGTTCTTCTATATGGATTGTTTTGTTATTATGATTACCTCAAGGCTCATGAGTCATGGACAAGACCTTGTTTAGCTTTCACTTTTCTGCAGCCAGGGAGGAAGCAATGTCTGCTATTATCGGATCCTTCTCTCCAATAGATGCTTCCCTTTGTGGATCACCGATGGCAATAACTTCCACATAAAAGCCAATTTGAGATCCATAGAGCAGACCAATTTCAGACCTTGAAAGATATGCTTACCCTGCATTGAACAAACTGGCCAGGAATGTCAAGCACCAAGGATCTTGAATGTGTATGGAGTTTGAAAGGCAGTCTTTCTGGCCTGCTTGCAATACAGAAGGTATTTTTTATGAATGATATGTCTTAATATTTAATAGTTACAAAAAATCAAGTGGGTGTGGGTTAATTTAAGTGCACTTACCAAGCTAGCTTATTATAATCTGATGCTAGGGAAGAGGGTGAAAGACACAAGAAAAGTAGTTCTTCACTTAATTAAGCATTGTGCTTGGTTGGTCTGGTTGGTAATGGTTGAATGCAAATTACAAGTTTGCTTATTATATCTAATGCTCGGGAAGAAGGTGAGAGAAACTAGAATAATACCGTTAAAAAAAGTTTTTTTATTGATGTGTATTTTATTAAATATTATAACTCTATACGTGAAAAAATTTTTAAAATATAAAAGAAAATAAATAATTAACTATAAAAAGTGTAATTCGCATTTATACATTGATTATTTTTAACTGATAGTTTTTTCACTTACTCAAGCAATGTGTTTGATATTCATTTTGATGGTAATTGGGAATTTAGTAAAAATAAATTTCTATTAATTCTTGAAAAAAAAATTATTTAATACAAAACTTCTCCTTATAAGAATAGTAAAAAAGTAAATTACTAAAAAAGATATCGTATCTTAAGTTTTTTCATGGATCAATACAAACACATGACGTTTTTAAAGAACAGATTTACCACATGAGAGGAATCAATAGTTCTCGAACATGAATGAAGTGAGCTATTCTGCTAGAAGATCCAACAGTTATGAATATATATTCATGAACTCTGGAAGTTTTAGGTAGTCCAAAAATAAAATCATACTAAAGTATAAACATATAATTTGAATAAAAGTAATATACAGAACTGCATGTTTTGTGAATTTTCTTTTGTAAGTTGACACATTCTTCACTGATCTATTAATATCTCTAATCATTTTAGACTGATAATAATATCAGTCACTATATCTAGTTTTTTTTTTTTTTTTTTTGTAAAAATGTCAATATTTTAAACTACATTTTTTATTCCCTTATAACAACTAGTCATCATGAACAATAAAAAGAAAGATAATTTTCTTTATATGCATGCTTCATATTTCTTCTTTTAGATGGCTGAGAAAGAGATTTGTAATATATTCTTTATTGAGCTCGTGCTAGTATAGGAAAAATTTTATGCAAACTTTTCTCAAATAAGCTCTTTCGGTAAAAGCATTAACCACTTTATTGAAATTTTATGTAGAGCATAAATTAGCGACTTATCATAATAAAGTATACGATAACTCTTGATGGATAAGTAATGTTCCCAATGATATATTAGTTCATATAATTTTGGATGATAAGTTAAATAAAAGTGTTTTGTTTCATTTAGTTTCTTACTTTAAGTTTTATAGGTTGATTTTTTTGACTTGAAACAACATCTATCCCAATTTGAAATTCATTGCCCTCCGCGAGAAATAGTTAATTAAAGTATGATTCTACTAGTACAAAAATAGATCGATAGATAGATACATATAGATATATATATATATAGAGAGAGAGAGAGAGAGAGTATAGTGTAATTGAATTTATCTATAATGAATAAGTATATCTTTTAAGACTTAATTATACGTTATGAATTAAGTATGTTCTACATATATTTGTATTGATAAGTATAAAGAATTATGGAATAATTGGTTCACAAAGTTATATATAACAAAATTTGGTCTCTAAATATTCAATCTTTATAAATATATAATTTGTTGTTTTTGGATGAAAATGTAAAAGATGATTTTTCGAAGTTATGGTGCGCAAAAAACATGCAAAAACTTAAAGAAAATTAGATGAAGTACATTCATGATATTTAGACAATGAGATTAGATCACAAAAGACTGTGACTGTTGCAAGTGTCGGTTGCGACTGTTGCAAGCATCGACATATTTTGAACTTTACAGATATGATTATGTGAAGAAACATACCCTTATATGACGAAGTAAATACGTTACAAAAAAATAAACATTATCAATTTTGATAGAACTTAAATTATATTACTTCCTGTCTCACTTTTAGTTTTGTACATGATCTATTTTTAATATTTTCTAATCGATTTAATTTTAAATTTTTAGATTAATTTTAAAAATTTTCCAGACATATTTGAATAATAACATGAAATAAATAAATAAATAATTTAAATTTATAGTATTTTTAATGTTATTATTTTTATACAGTACACAAAATTTAAATTCTTAATTTCATTTTAATTTTTTTAAAAAATTAAATTAAATTCTAAATTAGTTTGACTTGGTTTTTTAATCTACATTTCAGTTTACAGTTGCATTAAAACCCGAAAGTGTACGGACATAATCTAAATCCAACGGCTTCTCGTTCGTCAACGTGGCAGAATCCGATTGGAAGCACGCGTAACGAGGAGGTGGATCCCATCTGATTGTGGGAAGTGTCCCATACCCGACAAGCCGTACGATTGTCCACGTGGTAGCATGTGGATGGTGGGGACCACTTAAGAAGTGCACGTGGCAGCAGATAAGTGTCCCCACGAGGTTTGACCGCGGATTGCGGGATCTTTGTACGGGCTATTTTGGTTTTGGGTTTTGTGCCGTTGGGGCAGCTTTTGTATATGTGACAAAAGACAAAAGGATTTTAGGTGGGTGGGGGATTTTTAATTTAATTTAATTTATTAATTATTTTTATTATTTTTTAAAAAATATATTATTTTGCAGAAATAATTTTCTTTAAGGCTTGTTTGGTTGGTTTATATCCATTTTGGTAGGTCAAAGTGTCTTCCAATCATCAAACACCACCTCTATTTTACATGTGTAAGAGGGAATATAAGTATTTATAGATAAAAATATATATACATTTTATTCTTGATAAAATGATAATAATAATGAATATAATAAAAATTACATAAAAAATATAATCTAAGTTTCAACTAATTCTAATAACTTTGTGGTAAATTTACAATCAAACCCTTTTTATTTTCGTGTAAAAAAATTAAACTTGTGATATAAAATAAGTAGCCGACATACTCGGTACATTGATTTCTTCAACTAGGAGTTATGGTGATTTACAAAAGATTGTTTATCCCACATCGATTAGATTTGGAGTATTATCTTATCTATGAGATGTAATATTTTTATAGAACAAAATTATTAATCACCTTATAACATAACTAAAATTATCTATAAATTGCTAACTCAACGGTAAATTTGACTAAAAAAATTTGTTCATAACAAAGATAAAGTTGGCATTTTACTTAAAGGTCGGTAAGGATAAAAATGATTCATATTATATTACACACTAAAAACTATTGAGTTTCCTTCTTCTTCGCTCCTCATGGATATATATGCTTTTAGTTTTGAGAGAACAATGGAATAATTTAATGATGTAGAAATTAAAAATTTTATTGACGAAATCAGAAGTATCCTATAAATAGAAAAAGTTATGAGTCAAATTTATTAGATATATAACATAATTACTGTAATACCTGAACCCGAAATTTGGCATGAGATCAATTTTAGCATTTAAAAATAAATAGAAAATTATTTAAAAATTAATTTAATTTAATTTAATTTTTGTTGAATTTATTGAAAAAATAGGTTAGGGATGTAATCAAAAATAATTTTGAGAAAAATTGGTAAAAATTTAGGTTCGTGAATGTTTTTGAAAAAAAAATTATAAATAGGGGATCAAAGTATAAATAGAAAAAAATTATACAATGTAGGACTGCTCAGTCAACAACCCTGACGAATCCGAGCACACCGTATGGTAAGGCACGCTGACATTGGCGCCACGCGGGATACCACACAAGCAATCCGTGTGCTCCGCGATCGGGCGACCCAGAATCGATCTCGCTTGCGTGGACAACTCAGATTTGTTTCCTTCTTAAGCGCAATCGGACGGTCGAGATCAAATCGCGATAGACGGTCCAAATTTATTTTCTCTTTAGGTGCGATCGGACGGATAAGATCGATCGCGATGGACGGTCCAAATCAACACAGATGGATATAAATATCTCGCATCACACAGGAACCCAAACCTTAGTCGCTAGTCCCCATCGAAAAAAGAGGTTGACTGTTGACCGCCGCTGCACTAGAGTCACCAACGACCACAAAAAAAGGTAAAAATTCTCTCTACCCATTCGAAATTCGATTCTGAGCACTCCTGTAGACAAATAAG